CCCCCCCCCCACTCACCACCACATGGAGTTGCTGCCCATGCCCCTCGAGGCATGTTTCTTGACGTCGAAGAGGTACACCTCCCCGGAAGGGTTGTACGTCGCCACCACCTCGGAGCCGCACCAATTCACGGCAACCCCCGTGATGTGCGCGCGCGAGCCCCTGCGGCTTCTCGGGCAGAACCTACGTGTGTCAAGACACGACCGAGTCCGACGGACGGTGGCAACAACGGCACCGGTGTTATTTGGGGTCTTCAACCTGGAACCACTTAGGGGTAGAACGCATTTTGAGCTGCTAGTAGATCGTTGAGGCCTTTGAAGGGCTACGCATGGCAGATCGTTGCAAGATGGTACAGGGAAACAAGGGGAGGGGAGTGCGAAAGATACTCGAAACGCCACGGAGAGATGATGGGTTTTGGCGAAGAAAAACACACACACACAGAGAGAACACCCGACTCGGTTGTGCAAGACAAGTTCTCACAACCCCACACGGAACACCAACAAAAGGAAACAACACAAGGAAAACCGGAATTTCATACACTCCTCAATTCTGTCTCCATATTGGGAGTTAACATCCAACGCAACACACACACAAAATATATGCGTGTGCCCCCCTCATCGCACGTACAGACCACCCTTGCCGGCTGCTGAAGCCCAGCCCGCCTTCTGACGCCAGGACCGACTTTTCACCGTCAACAACAAAAAACTACCAAGAGCCAGAATCTCACATACCCCTGTGGGAAAAACAAGATCTTCTCACCGACAACTTCAACAAAAGGGAGGATTACTGAGAACCATACTCTCACTTATCCCGATGGGGAAAACATTCTCTTCATCACCGACACCAACGAAATGAACAACTACCAAGAACCATACTCTCAGGGGAAAACATTCTCTTATCACCTCGCGGCGGGAACATCCACCTTACGGGCGTCGAACATGTCCAGGTAAGGGGAGTCGCCGCACACGAAGAGGACGTTGGGGTCCGCCGGGTTGAGCGCCATGCCGCTGATGCTCCGCCCCCCGGGCTGCCTGAGCAAGGTTGAGCCCATGTTGCGGGCGACGGGTGCCCTCAGGTCGAAGGACAAGACCACTCCGTCCTCCCCTGCCGTTATCGTTATCATTGGTGTTGTTGTTGTCGATGAATGTTGTAGCTGTGGTTTGTTGTCGTTCTTCGTGATGGGGAAGCTCCCTCGTCGTTGGATAGCATTTCCGTGAGTTGACGCATAGCCTTTGCAACGGTAAGAGTGTGCACAGCACATCATCCGACAGCAGCCATCTACCTTCCTTTATTCCCATCAAACGTCTATACGAACGCAGCCACGGGAACGAATCTTACCGCAAGTCATGAATCGGTGGGGCGAGCCCGGCTCGATGGCCAGGCGATGAGCACGTCCCTCATGCTCCCCGAGGAGCTCGCTGGTGCTGCGGGAAAGATTCGTCAGCCTCACCTGCCCATCCGCAGCACACGAAACGATCTACCCGACGCGAGGAACAACAGCCGCAAGATGTTTGGATGCGCACGTGAGCGAAAGCGAGGAGGACGCGCGATGAACGAATGCGCCGGCCGTGGAGTTTACTCGTAAACGGCAAAACAAACAAAAGTGCGACACCAGGTACTTGGTCAGCGCAATCGGCAGCGCACTCGGCAACCCGTAGGAGTGAAAGGGACAGACCCGCGGACCTGTAGTCGTCGAAACAACTCCGAAAAAGACCACAGCAACACCAAATACATCACCACTCCACCACCAGGAAAACCATCAACAACTGCAGAAGCCACAGCAGCCACAACAGGAAAAACGACCACGTACGGCAAGCACAAGCGCAAGCACAAGAGCAACAACAAAAACAACAATAAAGCTCGAGAAAGTGGGCACCACGAGCGCCGAGCGCTTCCTCCTATTGGAGCCTGCCCAACACAACAGCAAGGCAGCAAGACGTAAGACAACAACCACAGCTGCAATCCCTCCATCAGGCATGGCAGATCAGCCGCACCAGCTGCGTGCCTTTGCTCAGTCGCCCTGCACCTTCGCGCACTATTTAGCCCTGTATCGCTGCTCAAGCTAGCCTGGTGCTATTGTCCAGTTTAGCCTGTTCTTTGCTCCGTTATCCTGTACCTTGTTCGGTCGCCCTGCACGTTCTGCTCGGTCACCACGTAGCTTTCTTCATTCGCCCTTTACCTTGGCTCAATCGCAAGCTTTACTTACGTTCGTCCTCTCGGATTTCGGTATTTCCGCGCGTGTGCCACAATCACTACCAGGGAAGGACCGACTCCAGTTCCACCTGCTTTTCTGCTCTCACCGTCGCCACAACAGCAATAAAAAAGCCCTAATTTATCGTGTGCGTCCCCCCCGAACCAGCCTACCGAACCCGTTGGCCGCTGAGCATCAAAAAGGGTACAGCAACGCAACTATGTATCTGTACCTTTTCGTTATCTGTGTAGGGGAGGAAGCGTGCCTGGAAGACGTTGTTTCGGTGCCTGCTGTGGAAGCTAGTCTTGCGCTTGTGGCTCTCGCAGTCCCAGATCTGTGTGTGGGGGGTGTGTTCCGGGTCAACATCGATCGCAATTCATTAGTAAGGCGTATCACTGAGTGGAGATTGGGGTTGGAGTGGGTTTTTGGTTAGAATGATGCGGAGAGGAGGGTCGGAGGTGCGACATACAAACCAGCAAGCGCAAGTGCGACGGCTCCGTGGCCTATCCCAGGGGCAACAGGCGCCATTGTCCAAAATGTGGCATCTCGGCCTCGTTCCTCTTGGTGAGTTACGAACTGGACACTACCTCGCATGTGCGTTAAATGCGCGCACAGGCATTGAACAACAACAACCAACACCGGACCTGTTGCACGCGTGCGCCATTTTAGGGAACGGCCCGCGAAGGCCAAGTACCCATTCAGAAGCACGGCAGCATCGCTCAATTTTTCACGAGAGCTGTACGAGTATGGTAGGGTTAGTTAAGAAACACAGCTAACCTAGCGGTGGATGGACCCTACAACATGAAACTCTTTCTACAAATCTTTGCCTGACAGCAGTGGCAACGGGTTTCGGACAGAGCCTCGACCTTGTGTGTGTCTGTCTTCTATGCGAACAAGTGCGGCCGCCGCCGCGCTGCCAATCGACCAAAACAACTCATCACACACGCACGCGCACACATACCATGAGCTTCAGATCGTCGCTGCCGCTGATCCAGTACTTCCCATCGGGGGAGCAGGACACGGTGTTCACGCAACCCTCGTGCCCGCGGAGCTCTCCCGACAGCTCCAGCCGGCGCAGGGTGATAGGGTTGCCGCCGTACGCAAAGTGGAGCGGGCACACGCTCCGACGGCCTTCCCTCGTCAGGAACCTCCCTGCGCCGCGTCGCTGGCGCTCTCGCAAGAGGGTGTGTATCGAGGAGCACGGAGGAGGGGGGGGCAGGCGGCGCAGGCGTGCTGCGGGTCTTGACGGGCGTTTCTTGGAAGCGCCAGCAGCGGGAGCGGCTGCGGTCTCGTTGCTGCAGCGGGTATGTTGACGTTGCTGCCTCTGCGGGCCAATAGGTAGCAGCAGCCTGGTGGAGCCAGCTGGAAGAGAACGCAGCGCCTGCCCAGGAGAGAATGGGGGGCGACTAGCGTCAGCGCTGCTGCCGGTGGCAGCAACGCCGGCGCCAGCTACCGGGGGCTGTGGCGCTGTCGGGGGCGGGCTGGCCGTCGGTGATGATGCCGCACTCTCTCCTGCGGAAGTGGAGGTACACCTTGCCGAGATATAGTTCCTTCCGCCTTCATGCCCGGCAGCCCCCTCGGCCCGATCGCCTCCAGCCAGGGGATTGTCCATGGGTCGCTCTTGGGTGCTCTTGAGTGGTCCACCTTGCAATATGCAGTGTGGTCGGTGGTGTTTGATGTGCAGTGCAATGTGCGAGCATCCGCAGTGCTTCACTGCTGTTCATTTTCAGCATCATGGACTCTTCTCGGATCCGAGGCTCCGCATGATGCAAGAAGACAATGTATCCCTACCCCGGTTCCGTTCGTACAATCGCAGGGCCTCTTTCCTGACAACGTTGGCAGATTCCCGGGGCACCGAGGTTCAAGGTGACCACCACTGCTGTGCTACTGCCTCGTTTGTTGTGCGGTGCGCGGGTGTGTGTAGCGGCGTGCGTAGGTTCGACACCAAGGACGAGAAAGAGGTCGGCATTAGTGGTACGTGGGCGTGGTGTGATTCGCCGCGCTCCACTCTGCTGGCGTCACTGCTACTACCACGCTGCAGTGAACTGCCGTGGCAATATCATTACAGTGAGGCACCGCTCTGTCTCTCGTCGTCGTCAGCAGCAGCAGCAGCAGCGGCAACCCACCTCACTTGCATGTAGGATGGGATCATGTAGGACGGCATCGAGCTGCCGAGTAAGCGGCGGTGGCTGTACGAGTTGCGGCTTGTCGAAAGGGTTCAGCGGCAGGAGGAGGAAGAGAAGGTTACCGAATGCCACGGCCGCGCTGGCTGCTATCGGAGCTCTGCTGACAGGAAGACCTGACGCTGGCCAAGCGAGCAGGAGCAGCGGCAGCGGCGCCGGCGGCGCTGCGGAAAAAGGCTTGAGAGGAAGACGGCAGCAGTCCCGAGGCGCGTTCGCCTTGCTTCAACACGGTGACATGTCCTTGAGAGGGCGGTCTGACAGCAGCAGGCGGAGGCGACGTTGTGAATTCTCGCCGCTCCCGATCAGCACGGCAGGAACAACATATTCAAGCAGCAGGAGGAGCAGCTGCGGCAGCCGACTGCGGCGGCTTATTCGACCATGCGGCCCGATGAGGCCAGAACCGCTGCTGAGCTGCTCTGCCGTCGAGAGAGACGCATGTTCTTCTCCCGTTCGCACGTGGGGTTTATCGCTCCAACTTGATTCTAGTGGTCGAGATGGCGAAGACTTCGTGGAAGGTCATACCGGTGACCGAGTTGCTCGGTCGGCAAGGCGGCGGAGGCGACGGCGGCGTCCGGAGGAAGAGGATTTGTCCTTGACCGCCGCAACCCGCCGGCGGCGTAGGGAGCTCGAATCGACCTGGCTTGAAGATCCAGGGGAGGACGTACCCTTCGAGTTCGCCGATTTGCACCAGGTGAGAGAGCTTGGACTGAATGAGGTACAATGCAGCAGATGAATTGGCGTTGCAAGTGCAGCAGTAGTTTAGGGGATAACGACAGCAGTAGAACTGCTACATAGTCTACGCAGGAAGAACAACCAGCAGGATGTTTCCATGCCCCTCCTGTAGGTCCAGTTCCCAATTCCGGATTGGAGACGAAAGCATGTTTTCCTCAAGAGAAGTCACCCCTGCTCTTTGCCAGCGACAATGGACCACAACTTTCTGTCCGAAACACCCTCTGACACCTTCAGAAGAGAAACACCTTCTGATGACGAGACATGAAGTATGCGGTAGTTATGGCGCGGACAAAGCTCCTGCCATCAGAGACTGAATGCACGTGACTCATTAGACCTACATACGATGCGGGCATGCATCCAACACCGACATGAAGAACGGCAGATGCTAATCAACGACCCCCCCCCCCCCCCCCCCCCCCCCCCCCCCCCCCCCCCCCNCCCCCCCCCCCCCCCCCCTGTTAGGCGACGAGTCTTCCCTGCAACATTCAGCTGTTCCCGCGCGTAGATCGGAGATCCATAGTCTTCGTCGACGGCAAGGAATCCCGTTCCTATCGAGGGAAAAAGTACACCGCCACCGCCGGCGTAGGCCGGATGGATGATGAAGTAGCGGCCGCCAGCAGCCGCAGCAGCAGCAGTACGAGTAGGAAGTTGCGGCTCGCGAGTGTTTCGGCCGCAGCGATGGATGGAGGAGGGTTTGGGCGAGAAGAGGGGGATGACGGCACCGGCAAAGTAGAGAGAGATAGGAGAAGAGGGGGTAGCAGCAGCAGCAGCAGTGGCGGAGGGGCGCAGCAATTAGACGAAGCAGCAGCAGCTTCGGGGGAAAGCGGGGGTACAGACGGAGGTGGTTGGGTTAGCCAGCGTCGCGGAGACGCTATTCGCCTGGTTGGCGAGATGAACATCGATAAGCCTGCCTACCTGCAGGTGTGTTCCTGTGTTGCGCACCATGCACGTGTTCGTTTTTGCGTTCTTGTTTTTTGTTGGGAGACGGCAGACACATCGTCGAATCACAACATGCATGCTGCGGTGCACGTTTGGAACGATCCCCTACAACAACCAGTGGCTGCTTCTCTCTCGTGACCGCGCTGCGACTGCCGTTGATGCTTCGGTGAAGATTTCACCGGCTTTTGCCCGCCTTCGAATATATAGATAAGACTCCTTGTACAGGCGGTACTCGTACTCGCCAACGACAAAGCACTGCAACAAAAGAATCGCGGCGGCTGTCAACAAGGAAAAGCCTAAACGTTGGACGAACCACCAGCATTGCACCGGTGACATTCCGGTGTGTTGAGCATGATCACGAGGATGCACCCGCTTCCTTAACCCAGTATCGTTGCTTGTTGGGCCCATTCTGTTCGCACTCTGCCCCCTCCCCCATAACGATTGGTTATTGGTGATCGGCACTATGGGAACAACGCTCCGTCCTCTCGAGGACCCGTGTTCAATGGTCTACCAGTTATCGCCTGTACAACATGGGTAACCCCCACCCCCCTGCCGAGAGAGAAGAACAGGTTCTAAGGAAGGAAACCAAGGATAAGGAGGGTCTAGAAGTGTACGGAATGTTGACATATGGACTAGGGTTCAAGGATTACCTACATGGACCAATGGATGCAGGGACAATAATTAATGTCAAATTCAGGACCGGGGACATAGGCCTTCGAGAACGTCGACGAGGACATGGGGCGGTAGGCGACGAAGACGACAAGTTCAGATGTGATTGCGACTCCGTGTGCGAAGACGGGGATCATGTAGTCGCGGAATGCCAGTGGTACGAAAAAGGAGAGGGAAGTAAGTGTACATGACTGAGCTGGGACAAATACAAGGGAGATACGGGGAGATGTTTGAAGCATGGAATAGAGAGAAGAAGACGGTAGCTGCACTGGGGAACAGGAAGTAGTTCGAAAACGCGGAAAGTGCTGTCGTTAGGATAGATTAGAGTAGGGAAGACGTTTTTGAGCCACCTTTGGCAAAGTAGGAAGGAACGATTGGCCATCGGTTATCGGTCCTGTGGCAANACCTTTAGCCCCCCCCCCCCCCCCCCCCCCCCCCCCCCCCCCCCCCCTGCTGTCGTTCGGCTGGCTGTGTCCAACCGACGTCCCAGGTACAGGAGGGTCGAAACGGTAGGTCTGACACCCTCCTCGTGTCCCAGTTCGGCTTCACCCGCGGCGGAGCTGTGTCACGAGTGGACCTCGACCCGCCGCCGCAATTGCCCCGCATGTTTGCGCGGCTGGAGGGAGCAGTTGGCGGGAGCGCTGCAGCGGCGGCGGCGGCGGCGGTTGGGGGGGGGGTGTTGTCGCGTCGCACGCAACCGAGACTCACGGGGACGTGGGCGGGGCCCCTGCTTTGGCCGAACGAGGTTAATCAGGTTGGTGCTGCGGGCTGTTTGGCGTGGAGCCTTGTACGGTGGGTCACTGCTGGTCGAGCAAGCGGTAGGGGTGGACCTTTGTCCGTCGAGGGAAGGGTTCGAGGTTCTCCTTTGGAAATATATATCACAGAAGTGCTAGATATATCCTCACTCAAAGAGGATCTGCTGAAGCAGTTAAAGTAGTGTCTTTACTGTCGCATTTAGTTTTCCTGTCGAGTTGTGGGTTGCTGTGTAGTGTCGTCGTCGAAGCGTTTTGGAACGACCCTTCTTTGTTCCCTCCTTTCCGCCTCGTCGTGCTGCCATGCTGCTATTTCCACCAGGTACCCGCGGAAGCTTTTGTCCGGTTGACGCAGGGCAGAGAAGCAGAGTTGAAGTACCTGGCGACACGTAACGGCAGCAGCAGCAGCAGCAGCAGCAGCAGCGGCAGGCAACGGCAGGATAGCTCAACATCGAGGGCGAACGAAGGCGGAAGCGACGGCCTTGCCGGCAGCGGCGAAACGAACGGGAACGCGGGAGGCGCCCACGTTCAGCAGCCCCTGCGCTTCGAGAGCCAGCAGTTCAGCCTCCTCCGCCTCGAGAGCGACAAGTTTAGCGACGGTGACTGCTCTCCCCGCAAGAGGCGAGAAACGGAGGCGGCGGCGCTACCGCTGCCGGTGACGGGAGCGGGAGCAGGAGGAGCGCCGCAGGTGCCCCCGGGCACGGCGGAGCCCTCGCTCCTGCAAGACGGACGCAACGCCGCCGGCACGTCCGCTTCGACAGAGTCGCCGCCGACGACGTTGCCGGGCTGGGACGGCCCGCTGCTGCCCGAGGACGGGGATGCGGTGCTCATCGCCGACGGGTTCCTGGTGCCCGGTAAGGCAGACGGGGGGGTGTACCTCGTCGTCCCCGCGGCCGCGGAGGAACGGCGTGCCGCCGGCGGCGGCGTGGGGGTCGATGGCGCTGCTCGTGGCAGGGAGTCTCGAGCGGGAGGCAAGGCCGGAGCTGGTGCCGCTGCTGCTGTTGGTAGCAGCCCCACGGAGGATAAGATTGTGCGACTGACGAACCCGAAGAGGTGAGGCGGGGCAGGTGTCCTGGCTACGCGCAAGAGGTGTGAGGATGTGCGAGTAGAAGGAGAGGGGTGGCATGGTTGGGGCCGAGTGCACTGCTGGTTATGGCGTGCGGCATTATGTCCACCGCCAAACCGACTGCAGCTGTGGTCATCGTGTTAGCTTGTTTGACCTCCTTTTTTTTCTCGTCAGCACCCTCATCGATTGCCCTGGACGTTCCTTGTGAAAACGCGCGTTCACTCGGCCTCGGCCACCGTCGCCCTCATGTTGCTTATACCTGTTAGCTCGTTGCCGATCACTCTATCCTGTCGCAAGTACTTGCCCTCTACCTCTGTTGCGATTAGACCAGTCGGGTTCGACGCTCAGGCGTGATTGTGTCACCCAATCAC